CTCAGAAATAGGCGATGGGCTCTGATTGGTTAGCTAGCCCAGTGTGTTGTGATTGGTTAAACCGCCTCTAGTCTAAACGTCCCGCCTCTCACCGACATGTGCTTCCATGTTTAACGCTTCTCATAGCTATGTGAAAATAAGTGTAGAATTGTAACGGTTCATTTTTGGAGCTGAGCTGAATGAGAGAGAGAGAGATGCAGAGCGTGTGCAGAGCAGGGGACGCGAGGAACAATATTAAGAACCGGTGATTTAGAACATTGATTTTGAAACTTGTGAATCCATTAGAATTGTTAGAAGACAGAATCGCGATTCATATGTGAATAGATTTGTATGTGCACCTCTAGTTTTCTCTTCCTCTTCTCTAAAGCAGCGCAACATGGCCTCGCCCCCTTTGCTGCCTTTTCCCGAGGGCGGGGTTTATCTGGGTTTGTGATGTCATGAACCCGGGAAGTAACTTGTTGTAGTGCCTACCAGCCGTTTTTGTAGGCATTAAACTGACAGAATTTTAAAAGACGATATCTCCGTTTGCATTGATCTTTCAGCTTCGTAACTTTGCAGATTTTTTTTATGCTCAAACAGCAACATTACACACTAACTAACATTAAAAAAGTGAAATCGCAATGAACCACCCTTTTAAACTTTTGCATAATCCAAACTTTGCTTGACCTAAAGTGCTCTTGGGCTGCTCAAGTCATCTCAGACTGGATGCGTATTGTTGGAGGACAGATTGTAAGAGGAGAGAGACCGAGAAGCATTTCAACTCGTAATCTCTCTAGTTGTTAATGCTTAAAATTGCACAGGAGGGTATTAGCATGCAAAATATTGTAATCTCCAGAGCACAGCAGGATTATATTTTGAGTTGAATGAATGGCTTTTGAAGACGTCAGAGGAAATAGAACATCTGTTTTATTTCTGCTCTAGTGGGTAATGCATTCATACTTTTAACAAACATTGTCTTCTCTGAAATCGCACAATCCTTCAAATTACAAGAGAGTTACATAAATTAGAGGTGATTACCATGAAGCGTCCGGGGCCAAAATAAGAAAAAGACAGATTCCTCAAAGGCATGTACATCTTTTTGCTGAAAGGTCAAATATTACATAAAATCTTATGTGGATAATTATGTTGCATTTACTGTACAGTGTAAAAAAATTTGGGTATTTTAGCTAACCTAAAATGTGTTTCATATTGTAAATGTAACTGGTTGATGAAAGTGTAAAATATTATTAAATATGATATATTCAGCTGTACTGCATTAACACCAATTAATTACATTTTAAAGGTAATAATAATAATTAAAAGTTTTGGGTCTGTATTATTATTATTATTATTAATAATATTTTTTTTCTTGCCATCACAGGAATACGTTACATTTTAAAATATATTCACATACGTTTTTTGGAATATTTTTAAAAGAAGTTCTTTCATCTCCCAATATTTTAATTTCATTTATTTATTTTCAGAACCATTCTCTGAGGTTCTTAAAAGAAGAAATATTACCCTTAATCTTACCATCAGTTAATTTTAAAAGGATTATGTCTGTTACATGACAATATTTTATATATATTAGAGAAGTGCAAAGCTCGACTTCGAATCACGCCTGACCTTTCTAAAGGCCCCCCAATGGCTCGCTGACATCAGTATAGATTTAGACCTGGGATTTGGCCTATTCATATGGCCTCATTTGCACCGTCTTGCTGACATATAACATATGGGAATATTACTGTATGAAAATGGAGTGGAACTGCACAATGTTATAAGAGGTGCACAGTAAAACTTTGCTGTAAAAAAAAAGACCCTGACAAATTCTAACAGTAACATACTGTTTTCCATTAAACCATAGAAAGTGGTGTATTCTGGGTAATATTTGTTGTTTTCGAGAAGGTGGCCTGCTGCAGTATACTGTGAATTATCAGTCAACACTAAGAGACCCTTTACCCTCATTCACTATTCCCTACATTCGTTTATTAATACTGTATAGTCCACCTGACAGAGAGAATGAACACAAATGAGTAAATTCAGACACTGATGAACACCTGCTGTTAACAAGCAGATTCACTGAAGAAAAGAGAAACAACAGGAAAAAAGAAACACAACAAATGAAACTGACTTCCAGCCACAGTTTTAGATGAAATCAACTGAAATAAAAGAAGACATTAAATCTCTCAAGATCTCAGCAGAGGATGATTAAACAAACAGCATTACCAGCTTTACTTATTGCTATGCTAACCAAATTGACTTTATTTCTGTTAGATGTCTACAAAAGTCCTTGTTGAGAATTACAGAGCTTTAGAGGTTAATGATATTTTATTGAATTCATTTGAAGTTACCATTACAGCAGTTGATGTTTCTTTTATTTGGGCTATGACCCTTGAATTTTTGTGTTAATTTTTTCTTTGGTTGCTTTAATGTGTGCTTGAAGAATGTTGCTAGAGACAATTGAGATCAGGTGATGACGGTTATATGTCGATTGTAACATAATCATAAAGGAGCCTGATATGCTGATCTAAACTCTGATGTGTCCTAAATATATTTCAACAGTCAACATTGTGATACTACAGTATGAAGTGTAATAATGCTGCAATGATCAGATATTTAATTATTTTTCCCCTTTACAATGAAAGATTTGACTCTGGATGAGAGCAGGCCACATCATCACCAAACAGTGGTCAAGATCACCTGATCTCATTTTCTCTCGGCTTTTCTTTCAATTACAATTGTGTCTTAAGCCCGGGACACACTGCATGGTTTCCGGCTGTCTCAGATGAACGATTGGCATCATGAAACAATCGTGGCGATTTCTGTGACCGTGGATCCTAAACGGTGGTCCTATGTCGTACAGTGAGACAGGTTCAAAGATGGCGACCAAAGATAGCCACGATAGTGTCAGAAATTCAGCATGATCATCTCACAGTGTGTTTGCTGCTAAGACCCACGCTTACTGACCAGTCAGTAAAAATGCGACATGAAATAAACGCGACACGGCACTAAAACATAAAACTGCTTACCTCAAGCTCGTGTCCCTTCCTCTTTGGCCACTTCCACTTTTTTCAGCACACATAAAAACTACAACTTTGGAAGTGTTATTCATCATGCTCTTTTTGTTTACCACTAGCGCATGCTGATGACGTTTTATTCTTCTATAGTAACGTGCGTCGTAGCCTATGAGTCAATAGGCATACATCATCGTACACTCTGTGTGCATGTCGTACCCAAGTTTATCAGATCCATGACGCACAGTGTGATTTGCAATGATCATATTGGATTGCTAAAATCGTGCAGTGGCTTTAAACACAGAGTTACAGCAGCCAGAACTAAACCAAACAGCAGCCACCATCATGGTGACAAAACATTTTCATTTTCATTCGAATGTCAACATCTATACAAACTTTTTAGACGTCTGACAGAAATAATGTCAATCTGGTTAGTAATGCATGAAGCTGGTAATGCTGTTTGTGGAGTTGTTTAATCATCCTCTGCTGAGATCTTGAAATTTCAGTTGATTTCATCTAACGCTGTGGCTTTTTTTCTGTTCTTGATGTTTTCTCTTTTCATCAGTGAGTCTGCTTGATAACAACAGGTGTTCATCACTAATGCTCAATCAGCAATAAAATATTCACTTAATGATCTAATTAACTGCAACACTTGTACTCTTTGTAGTGTGGACACTACAGGATTTTTAAAAGGTTTCTGTTTGTCTGAGTTTTGTGGGTCATCATTGTGCTGAAGAGTAGAGTTTGTGTTTAAGTCAATGATGAGCAGAGAGACATCGATGTTATGCTGCATGTTGCTTTATTTAAAGGCAGTAACTGTGGAGTTGCTGATGCAGTGATAATATCTATTAATGCTAATTGCACATGCACGTGCACTGTTGTTAGATAGCAGTTCTCTGCAAGAGATTTGAGTTAAATGTATTTATCTACTTTTAAAGGTTTTGCTTAATTATTTTTTTAGTAGTCTCAGACTAAAATAGTTCAGAGTATTAAGGTGCTCACATTGTTAACACATTAGAAGTATTAGTTTATAAGCATACTATATGTGGTAGTTATTGTAATTTAGTGCATTACAGTGATATACTGTAAAGTAGGTAACAAACTGTAAAATTACAGTAAACTACAGACAAATGTGCTGTCAGTATTTTAGTGTTAATTTACAGGGCAATTTTTACTACACTGTAATTCGATATACAGTAAGAAAAAAATATATATATATATTTTTTTAATATATATATATATATATATATATA